ACAAGTCTTGCCCAAAACCTAGATAGATGGTGTAGTGTGGTGATCCTTGCCGCCTCCGGGCCCGGAACTCTTCCAACTCTGCTAGGAGGTAGCTCTGGTGAGCACGTTAAGAAAGACTCCAGAGACCCACAAGGACAGCACCCCAGACTTCACTGACCTTGGAAGAAAGTGCTGAAGTTGAAGATTGGGGTGTGGCAGTTGCGTTCCAACAGCTGGGCTGGGGTGGAGGGGTTGGTGGAGCCCATGGGGCTGCCCACCTCCCAGTACACCTTGCATTTGCCCATGCGCAGGGCATACAGTGACGGCCCCCGCAGCTCCAGCTGAAGGCCTGGTGACACATGCTGCAGAAGTGTCTCTGTGTAGAGCAACTGCTTCTGATCCGGGAGCTCAGCAGGGCTGGGAAAAATCACCGGCTGGGGCTCTGAGTTTCTTATTGCTGAGCTCATGGGGCTATACAGGAACACGCAGCTGGAGTGTCCCACCATTGCCTGGAGCACTGTGCGACCCTTGTACATGATGGTCACATCCAGGGACCCTAGATTGCGCTCTGTGTGCAGACCAAGCTATGAGTGGTGGGTGGGGCACATTGCCCTACACCCCAGGACCCTTCCCCCTCCCACTGAGGTAGATGTGAGGGCTGAGTGGTGCAGTGTTCTGCCTGGGAGAACAGGTGTGTTCTGGGGGAGACCTGTGCAAGCACCACAGCTTTAGCCCACACCAACAGGTCCCCAGGTCCTCACCAGTCGTCAGAGTTGGGTGTTGAAGCCTGGGGCTGGGGACGGCTTCCACTGGCCATGCTGCATGAAGCTCCTCAGAAGCATGTTCTGGCTCCCGGCCTGAGGATAAGGTGAAGCTGCCTGTCCATCTTGCCCCCTCATGGTGCCCTAGCTTCCCACCCCTGTCCTTCGAGCAACCTTAGCTTTCCTCCTCTCCCTCATACAGCCTCAGGCAGATGGAGTTCTCTAGTCCAGCCCCAGCTCAGTAACAGTTCTTCCTGCCTCTCACCAGGATCCTGTGATGGGCCTGGGTCTGCCCCAGGCTCAAGTTCTAGTGGGTGGTCCTCACGGAGGCTGTGCTGTAGAACCTGAAGCAAGAGGTCCCCAGCATCAGCAGAAAACAGAGGGCTTGGAGTCTGAAGCTCAGCATTTCCTCTTGCCAGGAAGGGTCCTAGGGACATAGCCTGCAAGAGAACGCTTAGTGGTAGGCAGCTGCCCATCCCCCACACCTAGAAGGAGCGGACCGGACTGTACCTGCACAGGTAAGGCATTGCGGAGGACCACTTCTTCCCCATTTTCCATGGCTGGGCCTTCTGAAGAAAGGGGGGGGGGGGATTTGGATCTAAGATTGGCTAGTTAGGATGCTTGAGTAGTTTTAAAAAGTTCTCTTCCCCTTACCCTTTGTCCTCAGACCACCAGACATCTCACTCAGCCCAAGGCTCTGACTTAGGAGGAAATGTGCCCACCCACCCATCCACCCACATCTTGGAAGGGAAACAACTGGGCCTACAATCAGCCTTTTTTTCCAACCAGCTTTAAAAATTACAAATCCAACCATGAAGCCACCAAGACAAAGTAGTCCAAGTCCCTTCCTCCCTAGTCCGTCCCTATTTGTGACAGTCCTCACCAGTAGAGCCAAGCTCCAGGCTAAGTTCATACACTTTGTGTGGGTCAGCAGGGTCCCCCGAATTGTCTTTACGCATGATAAAGCGACGCGTGCTATTAAGTGCACAGCGGAAGTTAGTTTTCCAGCCTGCTCGTTCTGCAGCTTCAGCCTCTGGGCGTGGTAGGTTACCTCCACTAGGTGGCCACCTCCCTCTGGCCACAGCCCAGGCCTGAAGGAGAGGACAGAGAACGTGGGGTGAGGAGAGACTCCCTGCGAATTCTGAGAGATTATACCGAGGGCAGGACTAGCACCACCTTGAAGATCCGGGCGTCAGCTTCATCCAGATCCTTGCGCCCGAAATGCTTCCAGGGCACACGGAAGACTGTGTGAGCCTCATCCAGCCACCGAAGGCCCTCATACTGGCCGCTACTGACCTCACCCAGCAGCCACTCTCCGAACAGTACGCGCTGGGACCCCCTGCAAGCAGGGCAGCAACGCTAGGATCAGGGCCAAGAGCAAGGCAAACAGGACCCAACACAACCAGGGTGGCCATGTTCTCACCTCTCTGTGGCCATTGCTCCTACAAAGGCAGTCTGGGAGAATCAGAGTAGGTCCTACTCTGGGATGGGCTGCAGTCACTGCAGCAGTCAGGTATTACAAATGAGGTAAGAGTCCCTTGGGTGTCACTAAGGTAGCCACGGATAGTGTGGCCAAGTGTCACAAATGTGCTTATATGTGTTGGTCACAAGTGGGAATTTAAGTATCGCCAAGTGTGACCCAGGTGTAGGGTGTTAAGGGTCACAAATGCGGTTTGAGAACTTGTAGCCACCTAGGTTCCGAAACTGAGTGTGGATTCCTCGGCCAAGGTGGCTATGGATATGACAACAGATGTAGCGGGAGCGCACACGTGAAGTCACAGGTGTTGATCCAGCGTCCAAGCCTGGATGGACTGTCGGAGGCCGGACCCTGCAAAGACACGGCGGTAAAAGGGGGCGGGCCCGGGCCGGTAAAGCGAAACTGCATCCCGGGAAAACGAAACCTAAACAGCCGAAACAACGTGTGGGCAGCTGCGGGTTTCCCTCTTGTCTCAGTGGCTACGGGCGCAGTCCTTGACCTCCATCCTACCCTCACCCAGACGCCAACCCCACCTACAGGTCTTCCGACCGCAGATCCCGCCGTCCCTCTGCCCTCACGTGTTCCCGAGCCTCTCTGTACTACCATTCCCCCGACCGCTCGCTACTCCGTGGAGGGGACAAGAATTTCCTCCCGTGGCACTAGCTCGCTCCCTCCCCGCGTGGGATAAGGGTTCCTTCTACATACCTGGTGCCGGAGCCGCCGGGACGGTTTTATCTCAGTGAGAAGGAGGCGGCCAGTGCTTTTATAGGACCCGGGTCAGGGGCGGGGCGGAGCGCAGCAGGGTGTGGCCTAAGGGCTCCCGATGCCATTGGGTGCCCCATGCTGTGGCAACTCCACTCCACTCTCACAGGCCCTTTGTAGATTCATTGAGAGGCTGACCCTGTTTTGGACAGAGCCGGAAAGTCTCAGAGGAACAGCTCCCCAAGTGTGAGTGTGGGAAAAGTGTTTCCCTCCACACCTCCTCAGGAAAATATGGCGGGAGAAGGCAGGGGTACCTACAACGATCCCAAACAAAGTCAGCAGCTTTTTGTTTTGTTTTGTTTTGCTCTGTTTAACTGGCAGGAAAGTATCAGGAAGTGTACTCTAAAGAAGGCTACACGTTGAGAATGGTACAGATGAGAAAACTCCAGGAGGCAGTGGTGGCGCACGCCTTTAATCGCAGTACTCAGGAGGCAGAGGCAGGCTAATCTCTGAGTTTGAGGCCAGCCTGATCTGCACAGGAGTTCCAGTACAGCCAAGGCTACACAGTGAAACCCTGTATCAACACACACACACACACACACACACACACACACACACACACACACACACACGAATATCCCAAAGCCACTACTTGTAATACCATCTCAGGAGAGGTTGAGGCTTCAAGAGTGAGACCCTGTCTCAAATGTACAATTTAACCACTGTGTTGCATCCAGCCTTCATTAGAGAAGCTTCCAGCTGGGGCTGGAGAGATGGCTCCGTGGTTAAGAGCACTGGCTGCTCTTCCAGAGGTCCTGGGTTCGATTCTCAGCACCCACATGGTGGCTCATGAGATCTGGTGCCCTGTTCTGGTCTACAGGCACACATATATTCAGGCAGAACATTGTATACATGATAGATAAATAAATCTTTTTTAAGAAAGAAAGAAAGAAAGAAAGAAAGAAAGAAAGAAAGACTTCCAGCTACAATGAGCAGAATCCTGTAAGTGGCCCGAGAATGGAGAATGAGGGACGGTAGGGTGTGTATCCAGAACGAGCTGTCTCTATCACCCCCTCCAAGGCCCAGGGAACAGCTCCCTTCCCTGTTCAAATCCCAGAACCCACATGGCAGGTAACAACTGACTGTAACTCCAAAATCTGACACCTTCACACAGACATACATGTAGGCAAAACATCAATGCACATAAAATAAAATAAATTAGAAAGGAAGGAAGGCAGCAGTTGAAATACATTGTATAAACGGGTAAAGCTGCCCACTTTCTAAAAAGCATTCAACTACTGGAAGAAACAAATTAAAAATGTTTGGAAAGGAATTGGGGATGACTTTTCATGGCTGCTTTGCAGGAAGAAGCCCAGATTGTAATGTACCCTCCCCCAAGCAGACCAGAGAGCTGTGTGTAACCTCCATAGCCTCCACCTACTGACATGATCTGTAGGCCCCTGTATCTCAGGGTTTCTGTATAGGGCAGAGTGCGGTGTTCAATGCCAGAGCAGTCTTTTTATTTGTTTGGGTTTGTTCTTTTGTTTTGAAAAGGGGTTTCTCTACATAGCCTTGGCTGTCCTGGGAACTCACTCTGTAGACCGTGTTGGCCTCAGATTCACAGAGATCCGCCTGTCTCTGCTGGGATTAAACATGGATGCCACCATTCGCAGCCAGACTTTTGAACCAGGCTGTGACCCTCAGGAAGGTCCCAGAGGCCACCCTCTGCCAAATGAATGTACAATGTGGCAGGAGCCCCGTTCTGGTTCTTTCACTCGCTCAAAGGAAGCTGTCCACATCGGGCTAAGCGCTGAAGTCTCCAGCGAGGACTTCCCTCTTCCCCGCTGGCTACCGTGGGAGAGGAGCTTGGGCGCGGGGGAGGGAACATCCGGAAGCCGGCTGCTGGGTGCTCACAGCAGGTGTTTTACCCCAGCGCTCCCTCCCTCCTTCCCGCACTTAGAACGGAGTTGGGGTGGGGGCGGTTAGGAGGGATAACCCGGCTCCAGAAGAAGAGACATGAACGCTTGGGCTTTGTTGAACGACCTTCCCTGGCACTCGCTCCCGCACACCCGCCTTACGACTCCGGAATTCGAAAGTGCTGCTTTAATTTGCGGAGGAAAAGGGAATGTCTTGGAGTGGAGGTTGGGGGTGCTGCGCTAGATATAAGTGTGGTCGATATCAGCGCCAAGGTGAAGACCCTTTTTCTGGTCAGGCTCGTCATCATCGCTGCCTTCACTTTCCGTGGCGCTGGCGCTGTCCATGTCTGCTGTGGGCTCGTTGAGGACCACCACGTCAGCATCCTCTCTGATGTCCTTGCCGAACCACACGGCCTTGTAGCCACCATCCCCCTCCGGCCGCCGCTCCTTAGTCAGAATAGACTTTACGGCTGAAGGACTGTCCCCAGCCTGGACGGTTTTAGGAGACCCGGAAGCTCTGAGCTCTGGGCTAGGAGGTGCAGAGCTGGGGGGCGTGGGGCTGGAAGACATGGGGCTATGGGACCCAGAGGGCGGCTGGGAGGGCTCAGGGTCTGGCTGTGGCTGCGGGTTGGAGGTGGACGACCAGCTGGTCTTGTGGTCCGGGAGGAAGGTCAGGTTGTCATAGTTATTCTGCGGAGGAGGCACCTATGGGCGGGCGCGGTGCAGCAAGAGCAGAAGAGCAGAGGCGTTACTCCCACCAGTGCCTTCCTGACCTTCCTCCCACTACTTGGCTCCCACCCTTCTCCTGCCCCCCCCCCCACACCTGGAATCAACACATCCAACCCAGCCTACCTCTGCTTCTCTCCCAGCTGTTCCCATTCATCCCTCCATGTCCCTTTTCTGTGACTCTTCAATCCTGGGTTAGTCCCCTTTCTGCTCTGCCTAGCCCAATACCCAACACCGCACCGAGGCCCTTACCTTAGCCTTGCCTTTACAGCAGCAGTTGAACCGGTGACGGTAGTGCTTATGGATGAGGATGACCAGGCCGATGAGGGCCAGCAACAAGAGCGCACCTAGCACCCCGCCCAGCACTGCCATGTCCACCGTGGAAAATTTGTGGTCACCCATCGCACCTTCTCCTGCCAAAGAAACCAAGGCCACTTACTTTGGGGACACTCTCAAGCATCCCTTTCTAACCCGGGCCAGAATGAAGTACCACAAAAACAAAACAGGCATGGCTTGGCCCACACTCTAGAGCTGAGGTTCTGAGAATGGGTGCTACTAACTCCACCAGGCAGGAAGGCTCCTGGGGGCATGACTGCCAGCTTCTGACACACCAGGATGGCCTTCAAGGCCACCCTGTGCACAGTTGAATGTGAACTTTGCCTTGTGTGGCTTCGGCTCCAGTTTTGAATGTATGACACTTAACACAGTTTTTCAAGAACACTCGAGAAGTCTGCCTTGTAAAACTGCCTCTGGGGACCATTCCTGTGGGACACTAACCATGTCTGGCCCCTTGTGATCCTGAACACTGAAGGGCTGTGTGCGTACAGCTCAATGACCAGTATGAAAGAAAACCTTTCAGTGGAAACCTCATGTGTGTGTGCGAGTGCGTGCGCGCACGCGTGTGTGTGTGGTGTGTGCATGTGTGTGGTGTGTGTGTGCATGTTTTAAATTTATGTAGTGTGTGTGTGTTGGTGCTGCATGTCATGGTGCATGCTGTGGTCAGAGGACAACTTGCAGAAGTCAGTATCCTGCCACTACCTGTGTAGGACCCAGGGGTCCACTCAGCTTGTCTGTCAGTCAGGCCCTAGGGGTCCACTCAACTTGTCTGTCAGGCCCCAGGGGTCCGCTCAGCTTGTCTGTCAGTCAGGCCCCAGGGGTCCACTCAGCTTGTCTGTCAGTCAGGCCCCAGGGGTCCACTCAGCTTGTCTGTCAGTCAGGCCCCAGGGGTCCGCTCAGATTGTCAGGCTGCTGACCATCTTGCCAGGCCCCATCTTTTTTTTTTTTTTTTTTTTTTTTCCTGGACAGAGTTTCTCTGTAGCTTTGGTGCCTGTCCTGGAACTTACTCTTTAGACCAGGCTAGTCTCAAACTCACAGAGATCCACCTGCCTCTGCCTCCCTAGTGCTGGGATTAAAGGCGTGGGTCACCACCACTAGGCATTCAGCTGTTTTGTGTGTGTTCTGAGACTGAATTCATGTCCTCATGCTTGGAAGGTAAATATGTTATGAATGAGTCATCTCCCCAAACCTAACTTTGTGTGTGTGTGTGTGTGTGTGTGTGTGTGTGTGATTATTGTTTTGTTTTGGTTTTTAGCAGTATTGCCTCACTGTGTTGCCCAGGGTAGCTCTGAATTCCTAAGCTCAAGTAATCCACCTGCCTCAGTCTTTCCATTAGGTGGGATCACAGGCATGCATCACTATCCAGTTATAATTATCCATTATTATTATTATTATTATTATTATTATTATTGAGACAGGGTTTCTCTATATAGCTCTGGCTATCCTTGGACTCCCTCTGTAGATCAGGCTGGCCTCGAACTCAGAGATCTGCCAGTCTCTGCCTCACAACTGCTGGCATTAAAGGTGTGCACCACTACCACTGGCTCATAATTCTTTTAAAGACAGGTTCTCTGTGTATAGCTGTAGCCAGACTGGAACTCACTATATAGACCAGGCTGGCCTTGAACCTACAGCCTTTCACTACCTGTGTAGTGCTGGAATTAAAGGCATACATTAGCATACCCTGACAGCCATAAAACCGTCACTTTTATCTTGCACCTTCCTAATAGTGCCCCCACCTTAAGACCCTAAATACAGATTGTCCTGGGATTTATGCGACATACTGGCTCCAAAATCTGCCTCTGTATCCCCATACCTTCTTCAGCTCACCCTACGTGCCCCACTGGGACCATCTGTCTGGAACTAGACACAGACTTCTTGGAGGTGGTCAGTGTGGCCAGGCCTGTCTGAGTTAGGAGGGCAGTGATGGTGACTCCAGAGCAAACATGTGTGGATTACCTGAGGAGGATGGGCTCCTGCTGGACGTGGTGGCTGTCGGCTGAGAGGCTCCTGGCTTGGGGGTCTGTGTTGAACCCACACCAGGTGTGGCTGGCTGAGAAGAGGTACTTGTTCCTGTAATGGGGATCACTGGCTGAGAGGCTCCTGGCTTGGGGGTCTGCGTTGAGTCCCCTCTGGATGTGCTTGGAATGAGGGAGGTACTTGTTCTTGAAGTAGGGGCTGTTGGCTGAGAGGTTCCTGGCTTGGGGGTCTCTGTGGAGCCCCCACTGGGTGTGACTGGCTGAGAAGTGGTACTTGTACCTGTAATGGGGATCACTGGCTGAGGGGTTCCTGGCTTGGGGGTCTGTGTGGAGTCCCCACCAGGAGTGACTGTCTTGGGGGAGGTGCTGGTTCCAAGAGTAGGGATCCCCCCAGGTGTGGATGAGGTAGAGGCAGGTGGGCTTAGAGTTGTGCCTGAGGGTGGGACTGGGCCAGCACTTCCCCCAGAGCTGGTTGTGGCCGGTCCTTGAGAGGTCCCAGAGGTCGTGGGGGCTTCCAAAGTGGTGCTACTTGAAGACCCAGTTGTTCCTCCAGCTTCTGGGGGCTTGGGGGACTCTGGGGGGTGGCATGGACAGAACTTGGGTTTGCCTCTGTCACCAAATATGCCTGTTCCAGAGGAGGAGCCACCTTGCTTGGGGGCCCTCAGGCTCACCTGTGGAGGGGGCCTCTTGCTCTGACACTTGAATCTCAACGACAGTGGTGGCTGTATCGTTAGTCACAGTACTGGTAGCTTCTACCTGGGGCAGGAAAGGGGCTTGTTCCTCTCGGGTCCCTCTTTACCCCACACCTTTGGTCCCCGTATTCCCCACTCCACCTGTACATAGAAGACGTCTGTTTCTTTCATAGTCTTATTGGTCAGCATGACATCCGTGTCCATCCTGAAATCTGAGGAATTGGTGATTCGATACGTGATGTCCGAGTTGAGGTCCTGGGTGAGAATGCAGTGAGGCCTGGGCCTGGGTGTCCTACTGTCCATCCCAAGCTGCCCACACAGAGAACCAGAGTCTGGGCACACTTAGAGAGTTCGTAGGCAATCAGGAAGGGACTGCATACCAGGAAGTCTGAGTACTGAGCCTGGATCCTCAGGGTCTCAGAAGGGGAGGTCCTGTCCTTCACTGCTGTGTCAGCCTCAGAGCCAAGCACCACTGTACCATGGTACAGGCTCTGAGAGAACTGGAGTGAGTTCTCAGGGACATCACGAGCCTCCACAACGGCCTGGGTCATTGAGTAGCTAGCCATATCATCCTGATCAGCCTGGGGAGTCAGGGGAAACAGGAGTAAGCAATGGGACTTGGAGCTGGGCTGCAGCTGGGGCTCAAGGGAACACAGGAGACCCATCTGTTGTACTCACTCTGACCAGCAGGGTGAAGGTCATGGGGCTGGGGATACTTTTGCTCATCGTGAGGTTGCCAGACTTCTCGTCGATGATGAATGTGTCATTCGTGTTTCCTGGGAGAATTCGGGGTGGGGTTTGGTGTCCGGTCCCTCTGTTGTAGGGCCCAGGTGCTATAGGGCTAGCCCTCACTCACCCCTTCTAATGCTGTAGATGATGGGTTGGTTAATCGCCTGATCTCCGTCCACAGCATAGATGGGACCAGGACTCAAGATGAGGGGGGATGACTGTGGGGATAGGGATAGCCTGAGGTTGAAGGACCCCAGTTCATACTCTTTTGTTGTCCCTCAAAGCCTGGAACATGAACTGGAGCATGGGGGCAGGGGACAGTTCCTGCTTGAGACAGAGCTGCAACCACAGCAGGATTCAGGGGCAGCAAGAACTTAAGAAGGAAGACTTTGCAGCCTCCGTGTGTCCTCTGCACCATGGAGGTTACGGTAGCCTTAGCTGGCCCCCACCTGCCCAGCTGGCCCTCTGGCACCAGAGGAGACTGTCTGCTGGGCAAGGACATAGCAGTCCCTTATTAGCGTCAGCCCAGCCCCTGAAGTCCTCACACCCCAGCTGACATCACAGGGTCTGTGCTCATCACTGGTTTTTGTCTGTATGTCCCCGACCTGAGGCTGGGATAGTTAATGAATGATTATTCATCCATATTAGTTTCCAAAAAAAATTACAAAATTGCCTAAACCTCTTGGGGAGCACAGGACCACCGCTGGGTCCCTATCCTGACTTGGCTCTGGATTCAAGTTAGACTTTCTTACTCCCTATTACCAGTAGGAGCCCTGTGGGGACCACTCCACGGTACTGGGCATGGATGCAGAAGTAGCCATCTGAGAAGGAGCAAGGCAGGAACCAGGGGGTCCGTAGGTCAGCCGGAAGCACGTTTATGATCAGGGTGGCAGTGGCTGTGTGGCTGGGCTCTGTGCTTTCTGCATCCCAAGTATCCTGTAGTCACAGCCAGCCATGACAGGTCAGGCCCACAAGGACTTGGACAGGGCCTAAACCATCCAGGACTCAGGTAGCTGTGATCTGCTTACCTGTGCCAACAGCCTGAAGGTCATATCCTGATTCTTATAGAAATCCAGGGTCCGGCTCAGAGTCAGAGCAGGGTTGGTTAACCCCGCCAGAGAGAAGAAGCTGCTGGCATTCTGAGAAGGCAGAAGAGGTCACAACCTGAGCCTCTGAGGCCTGGAGGCCTCAGAAGGAAGGGGTCAGTAATACGTGGGGACAGGGGAAGCACTGACAGGAGTCACTTCCTGCAGAGTGTAATAGAGCGTGTCATCTACGTCAACATCTTTGGCCGCCAGTTCTGTCCCAGGGATGACAATTGTACCCACTCTGGTGTCCTGGGGATAGAGAAGAAGTTGATCTAGCCATGCTGTGGTTTCCGTATATATCTATCTCCTTGAAGGCAGCCCCCAGACATCCCTCTGTCCCCCTTCCTTCTCCACACTCAGAAGGCACCTGCTGTGACGCCACTGGACTCACCTCTGATACATTGTATTCCTTGGTTGTAAAGGGAAACTTTGGGGGATTGTCATTGATATCCAGGATAATCACATACACAAACAACTCTGTCACCTGCAAGAAAGTCACTAAAGTCAACCCCTGCCGAGGAGGGATGCTCGGGTGCCAGCATTCGGTCCTTTCTTCTTTATCAGTTCATTCGTTCAGTCTTTCGCTCTTTCACTCAACAGACATTTATTTGGTAGCATCCACAATGTAGTGGCCTATGGGCTCCTGTTCGAGGAGGAACTCAGACTAGAAAAACAAAACTAAACAACATTTCAGAGTGTGGCAGCCAGTGTATGGGGAGTGTGCTGAAGAGACATAAGGGCAATCCTGGGGACACAACCAGCAAAATGTCAAAGGAAGAAAGCAGCAGTCTCATAGCCCAAAAACAAGTCTTCAAAAGGATAGCAGAGAAAGGAGCCTTCAGGTTAAACTCACTGGCTGTGCCCGTCCCCCCCCCCCCGGAAAGAGACCTTCCTGGGACCCAGGAGGAGAGAGAGGTTGAGGACAGAGACCTTCCTGGGACCCAGGAGGAGAGAGAGGTTGAGGACAGAGAGGAGGAAAAGGTGTTCTTCTCCAGTGACAGATGTCAAAGCCATGGTCATTGTGTGTGTGTGTGTGTGTGTGTGTGAAGTGTATTTATGTGTTGACAGTGGAGCCCAGGATCTCAACCACACACTAGGCAGGTGCTCTACCACTAAACTATACTTAAAAATGAACTTGTAAAAAATTATTATCTATTAGAGACATGGGCTGAGATGTGTGTGGGTAACATGTCATGGTACAGGGTCGGAGTGCAGGGTGTGAGAGTTGTTCTTGGTGGGGCAGGAAGTGTGTGGAGCCTGTCATATCTGTAAGCATCCTTTAGCAAAAGGCTGAAAATGTGGTGTGGGCTGAGGGCCGAGGGCGAAGATGTCTGGGGTGGGGCAGGTGGACAGTGTGGACTAGGAGGGCGAGGCGTCCCCTGAGATGATGCGTCCATGCTGGTGTGAGCCGGCTTAAGGAGTGTCTACACTAGGCCAGTGTCTGCACAGCCTAGCCTTTCCCGCCCAGCTGGGAAATTCACTTTGAGTCCCAGTAAGAAAATGTGGAAGTTTCTATGTGAGGCTAGGCAGGGTCTGGTTATGACTCTCTGGGGACTCACTGCATGGAGAAGGGATGGAGGGGGACCAGGGACAAGAAAGTAGCAAGGGGATCCGCTAGAAGGGTCAGAGAGGCGCTCTATCGACCAAAGCCCCTGTAGGACTCAGGTAGGAAGAGCAGGGCTGACTTTAAAGGAGGCCCAGCCAACAGAGTCCCTGGGGGTGTGGGGGGGGGTGACAACAAAAGTGGGGTAAGCGGCTGGCCGGTGAAGGTGTCTCCCAGGTGAGGGGTGAGGGGCGGACTTGGGGTCTCAGGTGCTGACGCATACATGGCCCTAAGTTAGCAGCGTTTGAGTCTAGTGCTCAGGGCAGAGTCTGGGCTAAGCGAAGTGTGGGAGTGTGGGAGTGGCCAATAGAACGTTTATCCTCAGACTCCCTGGGGTGAGGTCTTGGAGGAGTGATCTTGGGGTATTCTGACAGGTCAGGGGTGGTCAGATAATGGGGTTGTCTTACCACTGTATTTCCTCTCTTGCACTCCAGGACTGCCTCCAGAAAAGAGTTTTCCTGAGGATAAAGAAGCCAGTACCCTATGAGTCACGGGGCACAATAGGAAGTACAGTGCCCTAGGCTAGGGGAGTGCGGCTAGGAAGGCCTCTACTTCTCCAGGGCCCCTGTCATCGGTGGCAAATCCTGTGTGTAGGGGGCTTCTGGCAACTGTTTCCCCCAAGGGTCTTACCCCCCAGTACCAACCAACCTCACTACCCGGGGGACATAGAGCCATTAACCCCTCCTCCTAGGGTGTCTTTTCCAGGCTAGGGGAATGGGTGCTCATGTATGTCCCCATGGGGGCACATTCCACCCTACAGACTGTACCTCATAATCTGGAGTCACGATGAGAAACAGCTTGTTGTCCACAATTTCAAATGTAGACGGAGTGGACCCGGACCCCAGGGCCACATGCAGGCCATCTGAGACCGAAATGTTCAACAGAGGCTCAGAAATACTACTGTTCTCCTTGATTTGAACAACCTGCTGGTCCACAGAGCAGACTGGAAAGTTGCAAAGGAGAAGTTGGTACAATCCACCCACTCTGCTGTCTACCCATCCCGCCCTTGCCCAGCACATACCTTGGTCCTGGGCCGAGGTCCCCAGAGGCTGGCCAAGCAGCACTAAGAGCCATGGCAGCAGCAGCGGAGGCCACAGGAGGGCCGGAGCCCCCATGGTGGCAGCTGTCAGCTGGAAGAAAGGTCCAGCTGCCTTCTTGTTCCAGGGCTGGTACAGTTCCTGCCTGGGCGACCTTCGCCCCTGCCAGGCACCGCCTCATTTTATGACCCTTTACCGATGGCCTCTACCAAGGGGGCTCCCGCTGGCCGGCGCTTAGAGGGGACACGAGGTCATGTTTCAGCCTGGACTTCTAGGAAGTTAAGCGGGGATTCAACCCACGGACATTACACGAGGTGTAAAAAGCATGAGAACCACTGGGAGTGGGGAATAGGCCTGGTAAAGTTAAGACAAGGCTGGGGCCATCGGTCTAAGGAGGCTGAGTCAGGGCTGAAGAGCTGAAGCGGGTCTGGGAGCTGAAATCATTTATAGATTTGGGGGACTGAGGCAGGACTGGGGGCTGAAGCAGCCCTTCTGGGGGTGGAACAATAGGTCTGGGGAACTGGGACAAGGCTGGGGGAGCTGGGGCAGGGCTGGGGGGGGGAGCTGGAGGGACCTAGTGCGAGGGAGCTAGTTTAGGGCTGGGGAAACTGGAAGAGGAATAGAAGGAGCTGGAGCAGGGCTGGGCAGCTGGGGACAAGGACAGGGACATGGGCTGGGCCATTGGCCTTGGGTCTACTGTAACCCGCAGCAGGATAGCCCTCATCTTGTCTCTTTCTCTTCAATGTCCTTAGCAAAATTCCCGAAGCCACATAATGTCACCTCCCTCCCCTGTTCCACTCTCAGAGCAGGAGTGTCCCAGCATGCTCCTGCCTGTGTGGGAAGCACAGCAGTTCCCCCAGGGCTGGGCCTGGCAGGGCTTGGCGGGGCCTTGGTAATAGGATGCAAATGAAACCTTCCAGCCACAGCTAGGAGCGGGACTGGGGTATGTGTGTGTGTGTGGGGGGGGGGGACCAGTATCTGTGGAAGACAGAAATCCTGGCCTCCATTAGACTTGCTCCAGTCTTTCTTGCTTCCTCCTGTCTTCCCTACAAGCCCTCAGAAATGGGGAGAGGCCTCTAGGTGGAGCCAGGAGGGTGGTAGGGGGTGCTGTGTTGAAAGGGCCCACAGAGCCCTCACCATCTGGGCCTTTGCTGCTCTGGATGCATGGAAACCTTCCTGCAGCTCCAGGCCACTGTCACGACTGAGCGATTTGTCTCCCGACAGCTGTGGTCCCACAGCTGTCTGCTGGGAGATGACGTCACTATCCAGGCTTCAGGGCTGTGCCAAGACCACATAGACACAGGTCCTTTCACTCATGAGGCACCCCTATCTGTCCTGCCTGTGCCTCCTCACCGCTCCATGCACCCTGACCACGAGGCTGGACGAGGGCTGGGATCTCTGATCCCTGGAAATTTTCCTAAGTGGACCACAGGACAGGGTGGAACACTGGGGAGTTCAACTGGGAAAAGAGGAATCCAGTTGATACCAGAGATAAGGAAGAAATGTCCAAGCTGACCTCCCAGGTTCAAAGGGCAACTGGGTGTGGTCCTAGTCATTGAATGAGGTGGCTGGACCTGTCCACACTCAGTCTTACTGAGCAGGGACTGCCTTGATTTTATCAGACATCACACACTGTGAGCTACAGACCAGGGTCTAAATTCCTTCTTTATTGATGCCAGTGACAACCAAACCCTAGCTCCAGCCAGGCTCCTGGAGACTCCCCTTCCTCCCTCATCGGGGCCGCCTGGTTGCTTCAGTCCACTCTGAAACTTCGACAGCTGGCTTTGGTCCAGGAGGCAGCCACGGAGACTGGGACCCATCCAGGGAAAGCCTAGGGAGGAGCCTGTGGAGGGAGATAGGTGGTTAGGGTACTGGGACTGACCATTAGAGCGCTCACACCCACATGGCTAGGGAATAGGAAGGATGCTTTAGGAGTCCAGCTGAGGGTGGACCTCTCACCAGTCCTGTAGGGCCTGAGTGTTCGACCACAGCAAGCAGAGCTGGTCCTCTGAGGGCTTGGACCCGGTCAGGCTGTTCTCTGGGATATTTTCTGCGTCCTGCTCACTGCCCCCCCCCCCGACCCCAAATTAGAATTAGTGGTAGCACTGGAATGTGGCAGGTTGCTGAAAGGGGACCATACTAGGCCTGCTCCATACCAGGAAAAGTCTGGAGAGTTCTAACTACGCCTGCTCACCTGCGCTTCCCCACCAGACCCTGCAGCAGGCGCTGCAGCCTGGCGCTGTCCTGCAGGCGGCTGAGCTCGCTAGTGAACGTCCCGTCTGAATGTCTTGAGATCCTGGGGAGGGGAGGGGCGAGGAGGGTCAGGGTTCGCCGTTGCAGGCATGTGGGCGTAGTTAAGTAACCCCCCCCCCAACACACACACACACACACACACACACACACACACACACACACACGCCCCGCTCACCTGGGGAGCGCCGGGAGCGCGGTGGAACCAGCGAGCAGCAGCAACAGCAACAGCGGAGGCCTGGGCAGTGGATGCTCCATGGTCCGGCTCCGTGTGTGCTGAGCAGTGCAGCTGCAGCCTGAGCCCCGCGCCCCTGCTTTATAGCTGCCCCGGCGGCAGGTGGGGGGCTCCAGCACCGCCCCGGCTCCGCGCGGCCGGCCGCGCCCCATCGATTGCGGGAAGGTCAGGGCCACCCTCACAGCTGTCGTCCGGCCACCTCCCGTCCCGTTGGCGCCCCTCAGCTGACTGGGAGGGGGAGTAGAGGGGTTAGTGCTACCAGGTAGCGAAATAGACACCTCCATCTGGGACCACGGGCAAGGAACAGGATATGGCGGTTCAGGACAGGCAGAGGGAATCACACTGCCAGGCCACTCCAGCCTCAGTGCATCTTGGCGCCAGCCCTAGACCCTGGAACACTCTTCTCAGGAAGGGACAGTAGGTGTCTTGAGAAGCCTAGGAAGGGCCAGTAGATGACTGAGGGGGGAAGGAGACCAGAGTCCGAACGCCCAGGGCAGGGGATGGGGACACGGAAGCAGAGAAACCGCCTGTAAGGGCAGACGGGCACCCGAAACAAAAATGGGAATCCTCTTAGGTCCTGAGGCTGCATTTTTGGATGGGAGCAAACATCCTATTCGTATTGGAATCAGGAAGTAAAACTGGGTTAGAATAAGAGAAAAGCAGGCCTTAGAGGTTGTAGGGGAGAGGAGAGGGGGGAGCTATGGATGGGAATTGACTTGCAAAACATCTCCATCCCTAGCATCCGGGACAAGTGGTAGGACACTTGTCTAACGTGCACCAGGGCCTCCGTTCCGCCCAGCACCAAAACCCGAACCAAATGACAATCCTTAGAATCAAATTACAAAGCTAGCAAGCTGTGATGAACTAGCTCTTGAGTAAAAGTCATGTAATGGTTTTTGTTGTTGTTGTTTTGTTTATTTGTTCTTTTTTTTTTTTTTTTTTTTTTTTTTTTTTTTTGTTTTTTTTTTTTTTTTTTTTTTTTTTTGAGACAGGGTTTCTCTGTGTAGCTTTCGTGCCTGTCCTGGAACTCACTCTGTAGACCAGGCTGGCCTCAAACTCACAGAGATCCAGCTGCCTCTGCTCAAAGGTGTAAGTCACCACACCACGGCCAGGCTTTTTTCTTTTCTTTTCTTTTTCTTTTCGTTCTTTCTTTATTTTATTGCTTGTTTGTTTGTTATGGGAATGGTTTGTTTTGTTTTGGAGGCAGAGTAAATAACCCAGGCTGCCTTTGAACTCATCATCCAGCCCACGTTGGCCTGAAACCCTCAGCAATCTTCTTGCCTTAGCCTCTCAAAAGCAGAGATTGCAGTCACCAGTCACCAAATCCAGCTCCGCTTGCATTTTGGGGGGAGGGGATCAGGTTTTGAGCTTTGGAGTTCTTTGCTTTGAATCTTTGAGACAAGGTTTATATACACCAGGCAGGCCTGGAATTTGTTACATTGTTTAGGATAGCTTTGAACTGCAGATCTTCCTGCCATATGGCTACTGTATCTCTGGAGCCCTGGTACTGCAGGTGGAAGAAGGCTGTTCTTTTGCAGTGCTAAGAATGGAATTTAAGGCTTCACACATGCTAAGGTAGCACTAGGTAAAGGAGCTCCCCGCCCCTAGCCCTCCACAGGGGGCTTTAAAAACAATTAGTGGGCTTCACATTTTTAGAGAAGTTTTCCGTTTACAGAAAAACTGAACCGAAAGTGTGGCATTCAGTTCCCCAATGCCCTCACTTACTCCCTCCACCCAGAATCCCCTTCTACTAAGAAGCGGGGAGTAGGGGGTATTATTGGCTCTGTGGTTAAGAGAGCCTGCTGCTCTTACAGACGACCTCAGTTCAGTTCCCACACCCACACAGGGTGGCACACAGGGTGGCTCTCAACTGCCTGTAACTCCAGCTGGGGCATCTGATACCTTCTAGCCTGTACGGACAGTGCGGTCCTGTTCCCCACAGACACTCCAGTGGACAGAGAAACAGAAACAGACTTTTTTTTTTTTTCTAGAGACATGGTTTCCCTGTGTAGCCCTGGTTGTCCTGGAATTCACTCTGTAGACCAGGCTGGCCTCAGCCTCAGAAATCCACCTGCCTCTGCCTCCTGAGTGCTGGGATTAAAGGTGTGTGGCACCACGGGTGGCCCAGCTATTTTAAGAAAGGGAGGGGGGACGGTGTGGCACACAGCCAGATCCCAGCACTTAGGAAACAGAAGCGGGCAGATCTTTGAGTTTGAGGTCAGTCTGATTGACAAAGTGAGTTACAGGACAGCCAGAGCTACACGGGAACACTGTTTGGAATAAACAAGGGCGGGGGACGCAGGGGCGGAACACTAGTGACACATACTTATAGCCTAGCTTTTGGGAGGCAGAGGCAGGAAGATTGCAAGCTTCAAGCCAACAAGGGCAACTTGATGAGACCCTTAAAAGTAAACAAAACACCCTGGCACTGGAGAGGTGGCTTTGTCACAGGTTCTGTGTAGCCTTGGCTGTCCTGGAACTAGCTCCATAGACTGGGCTGGCCTTAAACTCACAGAGCTCAACCTGCCTCTGCCACCACCGCCTGGCTTGAACCATGGTCAACACAGCAGTATCCTCAAGGCCTGCAGTTCTCACCAGGAGCCACTTTGGGGGCCTAACATCCTGTCGGTTTGGACAATGTAAACTGGCATGGATCCAGCTCCATAGCATCAAAGACAGCAGTGTCACAGCCCCGAGAGCTCCCCGTGGAGCCTTCTTCCTCCTGCCCCCAGACCCCTGATCTTGTCATTGACACTGGTAATAACTGCTTGTTCCAGAGTGTCCGGGCTGGCTTCTGAGTTTTAAAGATTGCGTTTGCTTATTTGTGTGGGTGGGTAGGTGGGTGGGTGCATGGAAGTCAAAGCACAGCTTGTTGGGGTTGGCTTTCTCCTTCTTCCCTGTGGGTTCCAGGGACAAGCTTGGCAGCAGGGACCTTTACCCACCGAGCTACCTTGCTAGTTCCACACTGGCTTCTGTCATTTGGCAATAATCCTCTACACCTCCTTTGAGTCTTTTCATGGCTCAGCAGCTCAATTGTTCCTAGGGCTTAGCAAATGTTCCCCTGTCTGAATGGACCAGTGTGTTAAGCCACTCACCCAGTGAAGGTCGTTTGTGTTGTTCCCAAGTTCAGGCAACTATAAATAAAGCTGTCGTAAAATTGTGTGTGTGTGTGTGTGTGTGTGTGCATGTGCAGGTGCAGGTGCATGTGTGTGTGCATGTGTGCACGCATGTGTGCATGTGTGTGGTGCATGTGTGTGCATGTGCACACGTGTGTGCATGTGTGTGGTGCATGTGTGTGCGGGTGTATGTGTGTGTGCATGTGTGCACGCATGTGTGCACGCATGTGTGCACGCATGTGTGCATGTGTGTGGTGCATGTGTGTGTGCATGTGCACACGTGTGTGCATGTGTGTGGTGCATGTGTGCGGGTGTATGTGTGTGTGCATGGGTGTGTGCTAGAGCCACAGACACAGCTCAGGGGTAGAGCGCTTTCCTGTATGCATGAGGCCGAGGTTCAATACTGAAGACTGCAGGGGGAAGAAGCATATGTCAGTCCTGACCAATGGAACCGTAGAAATTATGCTAGAATCAAATCCCTGAGTAAATAAGCAGAAGGGAGGAGACAGGTGGTTAGTGAGCAGTGACCTTCAGGAACGGGGGCGGGCAGGAGGTAGTCCTCTGCCAGCCAGCCAGTCTAATGTGCACACGGCCCCATCAGGGAGTTAGTTAGGCCAGGGGAGAGTGTAGGATAATGGTTACTAACGGCTACTACCCTGTGACAGGGGCCACCGCACACTGAGGTCAGAGGAGGGTGATGGACCACCGTACATTGAGGTCAGAGGAGGGTGACAGGGGCTACCACACAGTGAGGACAGAGGAGGGTGACAGGGCCACCACCATACACTGATATCAGAGGAGAGTTACAGGGGCCACTGCACCACTGAGGTCAGAGGAGGGTGACAGGGGCCACTGTACTCTGCGATCAGAGGAGGGTGACAGGGGCCACCGCACACTGAGGTCAGAGGAGGGTCACATAGCTGGCGGAGGCTGTGTTTAGAAAGGGCTTAAGAAAGACCCTGAGAGCTAGGCATGGTGGCATATGCTTCTAATCCCAGCACTTGGGAGGCAGAGACAGGAGGATCTCTGTGAGTCTGAGGCCAGCCTGCTCTATATAGAGAGTTCCAAGTCAGCCAGGGCTACAAGAAGGAACTCTGTCTTGAAAAACCAACTAACCAACCAGCCAGCCAGCCAGCCAGCAAACAAACAAACAAACAAACAAAAAAGCCAGTTCCTGAGAGATTGCTTTGTCAATGTCCTTTCGAGGCCAGGAGCCAAGCGAACCTCATGTGCTCTAGTTGCGTGGCAGTCGCTAGCGACGGATTACAGTGACTTGGATTTTATAAAGTTCCTGCCTGCAGGTTCCTGCGGGCTTCTCTCAATAAGCTATAACCTGTAAACTGAATAAACCATTTCCTCCCCGAGCTGTTTTCTGTCGTGGTGTTTACAGCAACACAGAGAAGGCAGCCGACCTAGTGGGACCATGTTTCAAAACCAAGCAAGCAAACAAATAAACAAACAAAACCAGAAAGAAACCTACTGTGGCCTGGCGTCGTGGTACATGATTTTAATCCCAGCATTCAGGAGACAGGCGTGTGACTTTCTGTGAGTTCTAGGCCAGCCTGGTCTATACAGAGAGCTCCAGGTCAGCCAGGGCTACATAGAGACTTTCTCAACAGAAACAAACAACAACAAAAGGGGCAAGGGATGCCTTGGATATTTTCTTCTACGTTCCTGACAGACTGACTCAATTACCAGAGGGAGTGATTAACTTCTCCAATGTTTCTGTTTCCAGGCGGCCTTTGGCAGCAGCCGATGGCAGAGCAGTCCTCAGCAGGCGCTGGAGTCTGAAGCCTGCAAGGATGAAGGGCAGAGGTGAGGTCCATGCTCCCCAAAGACCCTTGCCTAGGAAGGCACACAGATGCTCATAGAATTAGCCTCCCGGGGCAGAACAAAGACCTAGAAAAAATAACTGCTATCTCAAGGCACCCCTCAAGAAGGGCCAGGCGACCAGGTGGCCAGTGTGGTGACGCAGTACCTATAAACCCAGAGCCTGAGAGACAGAGGAAAAGATCTCTGCAAGTCCAAGACCAGCCTGGCCTATATATCCAACCTCGTGGGAAAGAGTAAAGGACAGGCTCAGTGGTGGGAACCTTGAGGGAAACTACCTATGAATGAGCTACCAAGGCTCTGTGCAGCCAAGGAAGAGAGCCCTTGGCCCTAGGCCTGGTCTTGAATTGGGCCACAGCCTCCTGCAGGTCCTGCTTGAGCATTCCAGTCTCGGCCCACACTGAGCCAGGGTACACTCTGGGCCTTGTCGTTGGACTTATCCCAGTTCAGTAGCACTGGGGGATGGTCAGTGCGGTGCCCGTGGCACAATCCCTTCATGCTGGCCGGCAGTGTCTAGTGATGTGCAAGGGCCGCACAGCCTTGAAGAGTCCACAGGTGGCAGTTACAGGTGTTGGAAACTTGCTCATCACCCGAAAACCAGCGTTCAAGTAGACTCTCTTACCAAGTTAGCTTCCCGTGTCTCCTGCAGGTAAAGACGGGCATTTCTCACGTGAGCTTACGAAGCCTCATAGTTCCCAGGCATCAACCCAGTGTCCTTCCTGAGGTCAGCAGTCCCAGGTTTGCTTCCTGTCTGCAGCTTACAGTTTGATTCTTGTCCACTTCAAAGCAGCTCAGAGCGCAGGGGGACCAAGCCCTGGTACAGAAAGTGCACAGAACGTCTGCTTCCCTACGCCCCGTTGTCAGGAAGGCCACACCTATGTTTTCCCCTGATGTTTCCTCAGTGTTCAGATGCACCAGGCTACAACGCAAGGCTGACCAGAACCTCTTTTCCTCTGGTTCAGGGTTGTGATGGGTGTATCGTTCTCTAGGGACAGGCATGATGACACCGATATATGGTGATAGTTTGTTTGTAATCTAGCAAATAAAGCTTGCCTGAAGATCAGAGTGCAGAGCTAGGGCACTAGTAACCCATAAAGGCCTGGCAGTGCTGGCACACACCTTTAATCCCAGTACTCGGGAGACAGAGGCAGATGGATCTCTGTGAGTTCAAGGCCACCCTGAGCTAGGCGCAATATTGAATCTGTCTAAAAGAGAAACAGAGCTCAAAGATCAAAGGTGGTCCCAGAAGTTGGGATCACACGTCTTTAATCCCAGCACTAGAGAGGTGGAGACAGGAGTGATATGGCTGGGCAGAGAGAGGAATATGAGGCAGAAGGAGACAGGAGCTCAGATGCAGTCTGAGGATTCAATCTGAGCATGCAGTCTGAGCTTTTGTTGGGACAGGATCGCCCCTTTCTGCCTGAGCATTGGTAAAGGTAAGAACTTTCTAGTAATTGGCTGCTCTGCTCCTCTGATCTTTCAGCATTAACCCCTATATCTGGCTTCCGTTTTTTATTATTAAGAACAATTAGAATTTTTGCTACACTGGTGTTATTCTTTTTTCATTCTTTTTTCCTTTTTTTGAGATAAGATTTTCCTGTGTAGCATTGACTGTCCTGTAGCCAGCTCTGTAGACCAGGCTGTCTTCAAGCTCAGAGATCCGCCTGCCTCTGCCTTCCAAAGTGCTGGGATTAAAGGCGTGCACCACCATTGCCTGTGTCATGCTCACCCACCATGCTAGTGACCAAATAGGGTAGATAGGCAGCTGCAAGGCCTTCATCTTCCTCCACTTGCTTACCTTGGACACCAGGACAAAGGTGATGACTGTCCTTTGTTCTCCCAGGTGCTCCAGAGGCAGACAGATTGAGTCATGTGCCCCCTGTTCATTCAGTGAAATGGGGCATGGTCCCCTGTATGGGGCCGTATGGCCAACAGTGTCCTGTTTGAGGTTTGGTTTTTCTGGAAACATTTCACCACAGAACAGATCACTAAATTGTTTGATCCGGGCCCGCCAATGTGAAGGTGACTGACACGGCTTCCCATCGATCACTCTACACGGAGTCTCTCCAGTTAGACTTACAACGTCCGTGGTCTTCTGGCGTGAGATAACGGAGGCGGGGACTCACCAGGTTGCTGACATAGCCCGTCCCGGTCTGGATAAATTACCACTCCATGGGGTTGTCACATTACACACCATCTGTATGCGCATGTGCGTATGGTGTGCAAGTATGCATGCATGTTTTCCATGTGTCTGGACACATGTGTGAGTGAGGGTGCCTGTACATATGGAAGCCCAAGACTGGTAGGAATTAACCTTGATCACACTCCGCCCCATTCATTGAGACAGAGTTTTACAGTCAAACCCAGAGCTTGCCAATGTGACTATCCTCGCTAGCGAGCTTGCTCTGCCTCTGCTCCCCATGGCTGGAATTACAGCCACTCACCTTGTCTTTAGGCAGATTCTGGGACTCTGAAGTTAAGTTCTGGTCCTCACATTTGTGCGGCAGCACTTTAACAACTTAGCCGACTCCCCAGTCCCTTTCATCCCGGGCCTCTTCCCAGCCCTCCACCCCCATTCCCCACCTCCCCACTTATTTCCGTTGTTTATCTTGTCCTAATGAGTAAGAAAATGTTTCACATTGTCCCCTCCATCCCCCACGTTGGGAATGGAGCCCAGGGTCAGGGGACTGGATGCTAGACAAGAACTCTACCAGTCAGTCACACTCCCAGCCTTAGGACTTTGAGACAGGTCTTCCTGTGCAGCCCTGGCTGCCCTAAAGCTAGTAATCCTCCTGCTGTAGCCTCCTGAATGCTGGACTCACAGGTGTGTGCCACCACACCTGGTTTAGTGTGGTAAGAGTGCAAACTGCTTTTCCTGATTCAGTTGAGATGATCAAGAGTCAAATCATGTCCATGTTTAATTAATAAAATGGGGCTTGAGTCATGTGGGGGTTTTCTTTGTTCTATTAATATGGTGTGTTATATTGGTTGTGTTTCATTTCTAGAATTCTTACAGTCCTGGGAAAAATCTTCCTGGGTCATGGTGCATGATTCTTAAAAACTGTAGTGGGGTTTTGCTGAGAAATTTTTTTTTTTGAGACAGGGTTTCTCTGTGGCTTTGGAACCTGTCCTGGAACTAGCTGTAGACCAGGCTGGTCTTGAACTCACAGAGATCCGCCTGCCTCTGCCTCCCCAGTGCTGGGATTAAAGGCATGCGCCACCATCGCCCGGCTTGCTGAGAATTTTTTAAATGACTTATTTATTTTTATTTAATGTATATGTGTGTATGTGCACCATGTGTGTTCAGGTGCCTTCAGAGCTCAAAAGAGTATGTTGGATGCCCTGGAACTGGAGTTACAGACAATTGTGAGCTGCCATGTGGGCTCTGGGCATTGAACCCAGGTCCTCTGGAAGAGCAGTCAGTGCTCTTAACTACTGAGCCTTTGCAGAGAATTTCTGCCTTTACTTTCAAAAGATTTTTTAAAAAAGAGTTTTCTTTCTGTGGTGTTATTGCTATTGAACTTTGAGAGTTTTTTGCATGTTTTGGAAAGACTTCATATTGTTCTGTTTTATTTTTCGAGATGTCACAGGTAGCCAGTGGTCCACACAGTCTCAAAGGCAAGGAAGCTGAGGGTCATGAGGGTCCTAAAAGGTGAGGAACGGGACAAACACTCAGCTGCCCCTGAGGATAGTTAAGGGTTAAGGTTGAGCTAGGTGTGGTGGGCCACTTAATTCCAGGAGGCAGAAGCAGAGACTGGGGAATCTCTGAGTTTGGTGGTAACCTGGTCTACAAAGAGAGTTCTAGAACAGCCAGGGCTACACAGAGAAATCCTGACTCAAAAAGACACGCACTCACACACACACACACACACACACACACACACACACGAGCCAAGAGCCAGGCGGTGGTGGCTCATGCCTTTAATTCCAGCACTTGGAAAGCAGACTGGCAGATCTTTTACAAGGCCAGCCTGGTGTACAGAGTAAGTTCCAAGACAGGCTCCAAAGCTGCAGAGAAACCCTGTCTTAAAAAACCAAAATAATAATAATAATAATAATAATAATAATAATAATAATAATAGGAAGAAAGAAAGGAAGGAAGAAAAATAAAGAAGGAAAAGACAAAATTAAGGCTGGGCTGTCATTTTCACCGTGGTCCAGTTCAGAGTGACGGATGGAGATAGCAACACCATAGACTTAGGAAGAGAGATGGTGAGAACTGTAGCGTCAGCCACGGCCTGGGTCGGAAGCGTTGCTCACGTCTGCCCATGTAGGATGGAGAGTGAACTCTTTGTGCCAGATTGTTCAGTATTGCTTAGCCTAAGGGTAAGGGGCAATCCCAGAACCATGAGAGAAAGAAGTGAGGCGCCCACAGCCTGTTGTAGAAACCAGAACAGGTGTCTTCCTACTTGGTAAGGACACTGTCTTCATGCAGGAGTTCAGCCACACCCTCCAAGGCTTCTTGGAGAGGAGCTCCTGGCAGGTTATTTGGTGGCCTGAAAGGTCCTAAGTGTCTGCTGGCCGGAATGGCTGGCTCTGTCGAGTCTGGTCCCGACAACCTGCTCTTCGCGTAGGTTCTTCGAAGCACAAACTAGCCCGGATCAAGCAAAACACCAGCCGCTGCTGGGCCTGTTTATGTTAGTCACTTAACTCAATTCTCTTCTGTTGAAATGAAGCATTCCTCCCTCGGCCGGTTTCCTAGAGTGCAGAAATCCAAGCCGGGACGGGGCGGGGTTGACGTGCTGGGGGCGGGACTCCGGGCAGCCTCTGCCCGCAAATCCCGGGGCTCAGCGATCAGCTGTGGAGCCATGGGGAACAACAACACGGACGACGACGGTGGGCTGTTGGCCGGGCGTGGGTCAGAGCCCCTGGGGCCGGGCGCCGGGCTTGGGGGCACGGGTGTGGCGGCGCTGGTTGGGGGCGTGCTGCTCATAGGCTTGGTGTTGGCGGGGAACTCGCTCGTGTGCGTGAGCGTGGCCTCCGAGCGCACCCTGCAGACACCCACCAACTACTTCATCGTGAGCCTGGCGGCCGCCGACCTCCTCCTTGCAATACTAGTGCTACCTCTCTTTGTCTACTCCGAGGTGAGCCTCCATGCCCCAGCTCCACTCTCCTTCGTCCCTTCCGCCTTCCTCCCCTCCCTTTGCCTGACCCTGGCGCAGTTCGACTGCACGGACCTTCAGCAACCTTGAGCCAGGGTGCTTGAAGGGGCTTCAGGCCTCCTCACTCCTGACTGCCTACCGTCTCCCGCTCTTGAGAATCCAGCGTCAGTTTTGCGTCTGTCGGGTCACCCTACCATCCTCCGGATCCCTTCCTATTCTCTGCGTGTGATCTGCTGACCCAGAGAGGGCTTGTGTTCCTAGAAGCAAGGATCGCAAATATTGTCTTTCCCATTTAAGTCCTGGCTCCCACTCCAGAAATACTGCACCCCTAATCCCTGCCAAAAACCAGTTAGACCGACAGGCAAGTGTGCAGACACGCCTCACTGCCTATGACCACTGCCTTTGGGACTACGAGCACACACACACACACACACACACACACACACACACACACACGAGAGAGAGAGAGAGAGAGAGAGAGAGAGAGGAGAGAGAGAGAGAGAGAGAGAGACAGAGAGAGAGAGAGAGAGACAGAGAGAGAGAGAGAGAGAGACAGAGAGAGACAGAGAGAGACAGAGAGAGAGAGAGAGGCAGGCCTGCCACCACTCAACTCAACTACCAGCAGCTTGGAGAATCAAAAGTGTAGTCAGAGAGGCCTGGGCAGGATAGTGAACTGGGGGCAGCTAAGAATCAGAACCTTCTGGAGACTTCTGGGACAGACTCACCCCAGACCAGGTCTGGCTCTTAGGTGTGTCTTCTATGGTGGAAACTTCTCTCTGCCCAAGGTTTGGCCCGAGAAGAGCTGCTTAGGACGGGAATAGGGAGGGACATAGTGGCCTTACTCTGGGAGGTTGGGCTGCATGGGATTTCTAAGGAAGACACCGAGTTCTGGAGCTAGGGCAGAGGCCAGCAGCCGTGCTGGACCTCAGGTCCTCCCCAGGGACAGACGTCACTGTGATGGATCTTAAGCTCCTAATCGTCCCAGATCAGTATGAAGGGATTTGGGGTGAGTGGGTTGAGCTGGCTGTATGCTCCTTTGCCCTTGGAGAACACTCCCTGCAGACTCGCTGAGAGCCCTAGACCACATTTGTCCTCAGGACAGTCGCGTGTACCCTGTCCAGCAAGAGAAGGGACCCATCCAAAGTCCCACAGCAGTGACAGTTGAAGCAGGCAGGATAACTCTAGGTGAGTCATGGAGGTGGTAGGATTTGTGTTCAGTGGGCAGAGGGTCAGGCCTATGCCCCTATGGACTTCCTTCCAGCAGATGGTATCAGTCTCCCTTGGGTCTTCCCCAAAGAAAGGAGACCCGAGTCAAAGGCAGATCTGTCTGTCCCCTCTGTCTCCTCTAACACAAGTGTCCCCAACTGCCTCAGACTTGCATTGGGCGTGCACACCCCCACCCCATCTAATACACAGCCATTGCCTCTCTTCAACAAGAATGGAGGTCAGGAAGTTAGCGCCTGAAATGTCAAGTTTTGTGTTTCTTTCCTGCACCTCTGCATGGCTAGGTTCAGGGTGGCGTGTGGCTGCTGAGTCCCCGCCTCTGTGACACCTTGATGGCCATGGACGTCATGCTGTGCACTGCCTCCATCTTCAACCTGTGCGCCATCAGCGTGGACAGGTGGGTACCCCAGACAACTCCTCTCCCACCCCCACCTCCCAGTCATCCGCCCAACTCTGCACCCTCACCACGCCTGTGTCCCTCTAGGTTCGTGGCCGTGACGGTGCCGCTAAGCTACAACCGTCAGGGTCAGCGCCAGCAGCTGCTCATCGCCGCCACATGGCTGCTATCTGCCGCGGTGGCTGCGCCGGTGCTGTGCGGCCTCAACGACGTGCCCGGCCGCGATCCAGCCGTGTGCCGCCTGGAGGACCGCGACTACGTGGTCTACTCGTCCGTTTGCTCCTTCTTCCTGCCCTGTCCACTCATGCTGCTGCTTTACTGGGCTACTTTTCGCGGCCTGCGGCGCTGGGAGGCAGCCCGGCACACCAAGCTGCACAGCCGCGCGCCGCGCAGACCCAGCGGCCCCGGCCCGCCCGTGTCGGACAATGCTCGGGGTCCCCTTTTTCCACAATGTCTGCCCCCTTCACCCAGCCTCCTGCAAAGCCCCAGCGGCTCCAACCAGCCTGAGCCAGATCTCTCTCAGAGACCCTGCGGCCCTGAGTGTCCCCTCCCGGATGCAATGCTCCAGCAACCGCCGGCACTGCCTTCCTGCAGGAGGGGCGCCAAGATCACGGGAAGGGAGCGCAAGGCAATGAGAGTCTTGCCGGTGGTCGTCGGTGGGTTCCTGCCCTGGGGCAAGAGCTGCTATGTAGAGAGGGGTCCCAGGTGGAGAGTTCCGGGCTCCACGAGGTGGGAGGTGGGTGGAGTCTAGATTGGAAGGGTGAAAGGTGTGTGTGTGTGGGAGGGGGTGATCCCGGGAGAGGGACCTGGAGTGCAGGAGTTCAGGCTCACGCCGCCCACCCCCAGGGGCCTTCCTGATGTGTTGGACGCCTTTCTTCGTGGTGCACATCACGCGGGCGCTGTGTCCAGCTTGTTTCGTGCCCCCTAGCCTGGTCAGTGCCGTCACCTGGCTAGGCTATGTCAACAGTGCCCTCAACCCCATCATCTACACCATCTTCAACGCCGAGTTCCGCAGCGTCTTCCGCAAGTCTCTCCGTCTCCGCTGCTGAAAAGGCCACTGCTGCTGTCCTGAGGTCAGGGAGATCCAAGCCTGTGGGCGGAGTGCGCTGGCGCGTCTGATTAAACGAATTATTTCCTAATCATTTATGAAGGCTGGGGGTTGGGGAGGAGCAAGCAAAAGAGGAGGTATTTTGGCCTGTATGATGGGGCCTGGATACTACTGGCTCAGCTCCAGGAGGCTTCTGAAGTCTCTTCTGCCCCAGGAAGAATAGGAGAACTACTTCAGCTGGCTTTGTTTCCTCTTAACAGGTAAAGTGACCAAGTGTCTATCTGGGAGAGGAGCTAGAGGAATTTCCTGGGGTTCCTCTCCAGGCCAGCTCAGTAGGGAGGGCTCTGCTGTCATTAAAAGGGGCATGGGTACCATTTTGGAAGCTTTCTTGAGTACGGTATATATTATAGCTTCCTGCCAGCCTCTCTCCAGAAGATGCCCTGAACTTGCAAAGTTCCACTGGAGTTCCAGTGAGTCCCATTCCCAGCCGTCAGTACTTTGTACTCCTCTGAAAGGGAGCCCTACACTCAGGTCCACCCAGGCCATCTATCCCATGGATATCCAGCAGCAGGGTTCAAGGCAGGACTGAGGGACCCAAGCAGCTCCTGGGCTCGGGCTCTTTGGCCAAGGCCCAGTGCAGCAAGAAGAGATGACTCCTGGCAGGGACAGCACACCCTAACATTTTCCCCTCCCCCATCCTCTCATGGGAGAGATGTAAGTCAGGACTGCAGAGGGGGGCTTTAGGTTGGGGCCCACATCAACAGGTACAAAGTATCACAGTGCTCTCAGTACTGAGAAACGATGAGCTGAGTCCAACAGCAGTGTGCAAATCCTCCCGTGCTAAAATAGTCCCTGTTGGATAAGGGGCAGTTCCCCAGCACTGAGGGTACTAACTCCCGCTGGAGCCTCTGCTGACACCCCCGGGCTAGCATGCTGCTAGGTGTTAATGGAGTCATGGGTTCATGTCTGCCCCCATATCGTCTAATGTTAGTGGAACTGGGACGCCCTTAAATTTTACCTCTGGACAGGCTCCAGAGCTACAGGGGAACCCTGTCTTGACAAAACAAACAAACCAAAAAGAAAAAAATTTTACCCCTGGAGACTTTAGGATACCAAGTGTGCCTGGCCTTTGCTGACTCCCACGGAAAAAATCTGCAGATCCAAACATACGGCCGAAACTCATGTGAGTGGGGCAGAAGTCACGGGAGGCTTGACACAGCTTGGGGAACTGAGCCCTAAGTGCCATGCCCTGAGACCCTTTGGGTTTCTTCCTTAGAGGAAAAGGAAAGAAAAAATTGAATCGATTCCAAATTGCATGTGACAGCCACTGCTCTTGGACGGTCACCCATCTTGGTGTTCTGGGGGCTTTCACACAGTGCCACTTCTTGGGGGTAGACACCCTAAGTGACCCCTGCAGGCTGTCTTGTGGTTAGCAGTCTGAGGAGCTCCTGGACGCAGATGACTTTGCCAAGCACTTGTCTTTTTTCTGCTGTCAGTGTGCAAACTGAGCAATGCTATGTAGCTTAGCCTGCTCTGCATGGCCTGGGTGACTGGTTGGAGCTGAGAGCTACTCAGTCACCAGAAAGCTCTTCTGGGAAGAATGGCAAGGTCCCTACTCAAAGGCTTGATTCCAGCAGAAATAAACAGGATGGTCATGAAGACCTTATTCAGTGGGAAGGGCCTCAGGCCTGGAGCCTCCAGGTGCCTGGCTCACTGATCAGCCTTAGGGAGAAGGCCGGGGGCCCCACAGAACTAGAATCTCCTGACTCACATACGTGCCCCTCCCTCAACTATCACATTGAGGGACCTCAGGGATCTGCAAGGTGCAGGACCTTCTGATAGGAGGAACTATTCGTGGCCCAGGGCAGGGTAGCGGGATGATCTTTTTATACATACCAAGGTGTAAAGCTGGTGTGTATCTGGCAGGAACTATTTTAGAAGTAGGTGTAAGAATTGGTAAGTCTGAGAGACAGGCGGATCTCTGGGAGTTCAAGGCCTGCCTGGTCTACAAGGGCAAGTTCCAGGACAGCCAGGGGTACACAGGGAAACCCTGTCTCAAAAAACAAACAAACAAAAAAAAATCAAAAGAAAGAAAAAAGAAAAAGAATTGGTAAGTCTATAAGTTCACCCTAAACTTGAAGGCGCTCCCTGAGGCCCTGGCTGAGTCTGCACGTTCCCTACATAGTGCAAGGGAGCAGGGGAGCCTCAGGACCCTGACCCTTATGAGTCAGAGTCTTAACCCTAAAGGGCATTTCTGAGAATTTAGAAATCCAGAATGTGCTCCTCTGGCAGTGTTCCTTGTCCGCGGGAACATCAGGTCTCTGATCAGCCAAGTCCAGTACCTGAGTATGAGTGTCCCGCAGAGGTCCTGCCTCTGGGATGGCCCTGGGTGATGAGAAGGGAGAGTGAAGAAAAACAAAGACAACCGGGACTTCACACATTTCCCTGTGCACCCAACAGGATGCCCCTGGAGATTCACAAGTGTCCTTCAGCTGCTCATGGCATTGCCTGGACACAAGCAGAGCTGAGAGGCTACGGAGCCAAACCCTGCTAAGCAGTCTCAGGTTCTCCTGATACTGCTTCCACTAGAGAAAGAAAGGTTGAAAACTCCTTGGCCACAAAGGCAGACCAGCGAGAGGACAGTGGCAGGTCTGCATCCCCACAGCAGGGCACACAGGACACAGCAGAAACCCTCTGGCCATCTGAATACAAAGTGAGCCTTGTAACAGTGCCATCCGGGTGGGGGATGGGAGCTTTATTTACAACCTTATTAACAGATGCGACAGATATGTACACGTGGCATAGGGCACCCCCCAAGGGGAATGGGACACTCATGATCCAGGGATGAAAGAGCACCGTGATAGGTCAAGGGCCCTGGGCTGTGGCGGAGTGCCCCACTATGAAAGTCACCAGCATTCCTTGGTCTCTGGCAGGAGTTCATTTCCAAGGGCACAGTCTGTTTGTTAATAACTTGTCCGGCAAGTTTCCCGTGGCCCCACTTCTCAGCAGCCCCCATAGTCATCAGAGGGCCTTAGCCTGTGATGGCCTCAGAGCAGAGCAGGGAGTGGCCTGGCTCAAACAGCAACTTTTTCTATTACACTTTCTTCAACATGGACTTCATCAGCCTGGACAGTGACAGATGTTGGCTGGCCACAGACGTGCTGATGGTCTTTCCAGTCCTGAAAGGAAAGACACCCATGTTAGCAGGAAGGACCACAGGGACCCACTGTGGTCCAGACCACCACATCACCTGTGGATGGGCTCTGGACTTCACCGTGAGCGGCTGCGAGCTGTCAAGGGTGAGGCATCGCTCAGATTACAAAAGACATGCGCATAATAAGACAGGAGTAAGTTCATGTGTCCAGGTGTTTGTTGTTAGAATTACGAGGCTCTGGCTATCCTGGAACTCACTATGTAGAGCAGGCTAGACTCAAATTCACATGGACCTTCCTGAGTGCTGGAATTAAAGGTGTGGGCACCACACTGTGGTGCTGCTAGAATTAAAATGAAAAGTTGGACAGTGGTTCATGCCTATAATTGCAGCACACAGGAGGCTGAAACCTGAGAACAGACAGAGTTTGAGACCAGCCTAGACTAACAATAGAAACAAACAAATAAATTTGACTATGATATAGCCACCCACAGTGGCATAACTGTGAGGGTGATATTTGTAGAAAAGGTCACTGGCTATCCAGCCTGATGACTTGAATTCACTCTTCAGGATCTACATATGGAAGGGGAGAACTAACTCCTTCAGGTTGTCCATGTGTGCCGTGGCATGTGTGTCCCCTATAGGGATATTAAATTAATAAATGTAATTTAAAACAACAAAAGACTGGGAATAGCTCACTGGTAGAGCATTTGACATGCATAAGGCCTGACTTCAACCCCCAGTACCACAACAAAGCAGCAAATAGTGAGCCAAGGAGCTAGCTGTGTTAGGCTAGGTACTACCAGGTGAGCCAAGGAGCTACTGCGTTAGGCTAGGTACTGGGTGATTCCCTCACTATGAAATGTCTAGAACAACAAAATGTGCACAGAGAAAGTTGATTATCCCCACCAAGGCCTGAGGGAAGATGAGGGCAGTAGGGTTGGGGGAGGGATTCTTTCAAGGGATGTTTCAAAATGCACTGGGTTACAGTATTTCTCTAAAATTTATGAAAATTCATTGACTGTATAGACCAGGTGAATTTTATGGCATGTAAATCAGAACCAGCTAAAGATACCCTGGCACATAGTTCACAGGGAATTTGAAAGAAATAAAAACTGTGCAAGTTAAAAGCAAAACAGTCTATGACTGTTACCTAGCCGAAAAGAAAGCCAAAAGCAGCCCCCTCTTCAGCTGACAGGGTGAGGAAGTTATTTACCCACTTTACAAGTCAGCACTGTCAGAGTGGCCTCCGGCTTCTGTTTCTTCAGTTCCCTGCTAGATAGTGCTCCCTTTGAGGCCAATATGAGAAGTAAGGATAGTGACATTCAGGGGGTTTTGTTTGTTTTGAGATAGGGTTTCTCTGTAGCTTTTTGAGCCTATCCTGGAACTTGTTCTGCAGATCAGGCTGGCCTCGAACTCACAGAAATCCGCCTGCCTCTACCTCCCAAGTGCTGGGATTAAAAGCATGTGCCACCACTGCCTGATTTGACATTCACTTTTTTTTTTTTTTTTTTTTTTTTTGAGACAGGGTTTCTCTGTAGCTTTGGTTCCTGTCCCGGAACTAGCTCTTATAGACTATACTGGCCTCGAACTCCCAGAGATCTGCCTGCCTCTACCTCCTGAGTGCTGGGATTAAAGGCGTGCGCCACCACCACCCGGCTGACATTCACTTTTTAAAAAGATTTATTTATCATTCTTATTTTATGTGTATGAGTGTTTTGCCTGCATATATGCCTGGTTTTCACGGAGGACAGAAAAGGGTGTCAGATCCCTGGTACTGGAGTTAGGATTGTTGTGAGCCATCACGTGGGTGCTAGAAATTGAACCCAGGTCTTCTGCAAGAACAGAAGTACTCTTAACCACTGAGCCATCTCTCCAGTCCCCTGCATTCATTTTATATCAGTTCAAATGAAGAAGCTGCACAGGCCTTTATTCCAGCATTTGGGAGGCAGAGGCAGGTGGATTTCTGCAGGAACACACAAAGAAATGCTGTCCCACCCAAAACAAAACAGAAAGCTGGAGTGTTTGTCTTTAATGAGGACATCAAAAGAGGGCTGAAGTCAGAGGCAGGGGGATCTCTGTGGGTTTGAGGCCAGTTTGGTCTCAGAAGCGAGTTTCAAGACAGCCAGAAGAACTGTTTCACAGAGAAACCCAGTCTCAAAAAAAAAAAAAAAAAAAAAAAAAAAGACTGACTTAGCTGGTAGCTCCAAGAAATGGAGTCTCTCAGCCAGACTGTTCCTGGAATCAAAGCTCCCAGAACATGAGGCAAGGACAGAAGCCTGCATTGTGACACTGTTGAGCCTGTGCCAGCCCTTCAGGGAGCCTCAGGCAGAGTGAGGTTCCTCAGTTACCTGTGCGCTATGACCTCTCTCCCAGAGCTCCTGGCGCATGGCCCAGCATCCCAAGTACAGTGGGATAACTTGGCTCAGCTTTTCTCAGTGCAAAGTTTTTTAAGGGGAGTTCAGAAGACGAACTTCCAATTTTGGTCCCCAAATCTCTGGTACCCTGGAGACAAGTGGAGTCACAGAGAGGACCAGGGGACACGGGCCACACCTTCCCTTCAAACCCCAGAGGCAATGGCTCCTGTGTACTCACCAGGGCCACACAGGACTGCCAGGAGTCCATCAGCGTGACAGACTTTTCTTGTGCCATGTGAGGTTCTCTGAGTCACCTATGGACCTCGGGGTGGGGACACCCGTCCACTTCATAAGCTGTCCTTCATGGCTATCTTCCCAAATCCACACTTTTGTTAGCCTGCCAGGTTTTAGCAAAGCACCAGGCCGTGGGTCCTTGTGGGAGGTTCTGTCAGCAGACACAGCTTGAACCTGCAGTGGCTACTACACGTGTCTGACAGATCTGCTTCCGTATTCACACACTCAAGGGCCTAAGGCTACTCAGCATCCCCAGAACTGGGGCCACGGACTCCAGGTGACTGAGAACACTCTCCTCATCCCTGAGAACAAGGCGGCTCCTTCTGTTTCTGTTCCAGGCTAGGAAACAGGGCCCCAGAGTCCTGTCATTCTGAGCCCTAGGTCAGAGAATGCCCAGCAGGCTGCCAGCCTCTCAGCCTATTTCACAGCAGCCCCAGGGAGTAAAACTGAGCATTACACTGTCTTTTGAAGCATGGGCGTTCTTTAGAGGAGTTCGTGAAGATCATGAGCACTGCCACGGCTGTGCAGGACGGACAGCTGGACGGACAGCACAGGCTCAATCCTCCAGCAGGTCCAGGTCCACTCTCACATGTCCGGCCTCTACTTGGCCGGTACTGCTGAGTATCGCGGACAAGACCCGCTTGCTCCACGGTGGAACTTAAGATTCCTACATCTTCAAAAATGGCACTAGGCAAAAAATAAGCCCTTAAGTCAGTAGGGCACAAAGAAGAGAATTCACCACGTGGACAGTGGCGAGGCCAGAATGGTGGCCGCAACCAGCCAGGGAACCACATGCTTCACGGCACTTCCTGGGATAACTATGGGCTGATGACTTTGGGAAAATAAACATGATGGCGTTACCAACTGCTCCAAAGTGGTCCTGGTAAGAAGTGCCAGGCGCATGACGTTCTAGGTGGTCAGCTGACAGTCCACAGGCTGCTAGTGCCCCATGGTAACTATGGATGCAGCCCAACAGAAAACATACTTATTTAAAGCATCATTCCCACTCTGGGAACTTGACTATATAGTTCCTGAGTGTGCACTTAGCTGACAATATCACGTCGTAGTATCAAAAAGTTAGACATCCAAAAGACCTTTAATGCTGGCAGCGGTAGCATGCCTGCTGAAATCCAGGCACTAGAGGAAAGGAGGCAACAGGATCAGGAGTTCAAGGGCATCCTAGGCTACATGAAACCCTGTCTAAAAAGAGGACTGGGGTGCTGGAGGTATGGCTCAGGTGTGGAGTGCCTGCCTAATTTAAGGTCATTCTTGACTACATATGGAGTTCTAGGTCAGCCTGAAATACATGAGATCCTGTCTCAAAGAAAAAAAAAAAAGAGCCGGGTAGTGGTGGCACACACCTTTACTTCCAGCACTCGGAGGCAGAAGCTAGCCTGGTCTACAAAGTTAGTTCCAGGACAGGCTCCAAAGCTACACAGAGAAACCCTGTCTTAAAAAACTTAAAACAACAAAAAAAAACAACCAAACCAAACCAAAACAACAACAACAAAAAATCCACAAAACAAAAAACCTCTTTAATGTTCCCAGAGCCAGTGGTTAAATCACATAAACAAAGATTCTCACAGTGCTCTGAGGCCTGCTGAACTAGGACATGGTAAGAGGCCCTGAGAACACGGAGTCCCTACCAGTGAGCAGGTTTAACTACAGGCACACAGATGCACATGTGCCTTCTCCCCTCACAGACCCAGCTGGAGCCTGCAGAAAGGGGAAGGGATAGTCCCAGACCCAACAAGGTATATGGGTGGGTGAAGGAGGGTGTTGGGGATTCTGAA